ATTTTATTTATTTATTTGACAGAGAGAGAGAGTACAAGCAGGGGGAAAAGCAGAGGGAGAGGGAGAAGCAGGCTCTCCAATGAGCAGGGAGCCCAGTGTGGGGCTTGATCCCAGGACCCTGGGATCATGACCAGAGCTGAAGGCAGGTGCTTAACCCACTGAGTCATCCAGGTGCCCCTACAATGCAACTTCTTACACACAGTTTTGGCATTTTCTCTCCTCAATTCAACATGATCACAGAGAGCACCAGCTAACTACAGTTTGGTAAACTGTCATGTTGACAATATCAGCTGAGTGGTTTTATTTCTAAATGTAAATTTTAACTATTTTTATAATTACTGTTTTAAATAATTTTTAAGAGATTTTACTTATTTGAGAGAGTGAGAGAGAGCATGAGAGGGGAAAGGGTTAGATGGAGAAGCAGACTCCCTGCTGAGCAGGGAGCCCGACGTGGGGCTCCATCCCGGGACTCTGGGATCATGACCTGAGCCGAAGGCAGTCACCTAACCAACTGAGCCACACAGGCTCCCTGTTTTCAATAATTTTTTAAAGGATTCCCTACGCCCAAGGTGGGGCTCGAACTGACGACCCTGATTGAGATCAAGAGTCGCCTGCTCCACCAATGGAGCCAGACAGGCGCCCCTATTTTTAATAATTTTATAATGAAAATTTTATAGTGAAAAGATCTGAAGCCGCAATAGGGATGTTAAGATTTGACAAAGCTACCTGATGAATAGACAAGCATAATCTAGGCACCTGGAAAAATGTCTTAAGACCAGAAACCCAAAAGCTATGTAGAAAAAGAGAGACAAAGAGCCATGCAGGACCATGTAAATCTTCAGCCATGTTATTTTAAAATATCCACAAAGTCAAAATACAAATGATAGATTAAAAATAAATACTTATCATCTGTGTGCCAGATGAATGGTTAATCTTTATAATATAAAACAGAGTTCCTACAAATTAAGAAGGAAAAAGACAGGTCAAGAATGAGGAAGAACATGGGGCGCCTCAGTGGCTCAGTCGGTTAAGCCTCTGCCCTCGGCTCAGGTCATGGTCCCAGGGTCCTGGGATCGAGCCCCGCATCAGGCTCCCTGCTCAGCAAGGGAGGCTGCTTCTCCTTCTCCCACTCCCTCTGCCCCTGCTCATGTGTGTGCGTGCTTTCTCTCTCTCTCTCAAATAAATAAAATTAAAAAAAAAACAAAAAACAAGGAAGAACAAATGCATGAGCACCAGTTGGGCACGTGTCCGTGTGTGGTGCGTCCGTGTGTGGTGCATGCATGCGTGCGGAGGGGTGGACAGGAGCCAAAGTCACAGTGAGCTCTCGCTTTGCCCCCATCAGGTTGGCACAAAGTGGAAAAGCGTGCTAACACCTTTCTGGTGCGCGGAGCGCACACGCAGCTTCCAGCAGCACTGCGTGCAGCCGGTGGAAGCTGGGAAGGAATCAGCGCCCGGAAGAGGCCGGGGTGAAGGAGCCCGGATTAGTCCCCCGCCAAGGACAGAAGATGCAAGTGCACAGAACTGCGTGTCCCATGACAGGGCCACCAGAATCCTGATAGGTCTCTCAGGTGGCTCGTTGTCCACCCCCACCCCCCCACCACCCCAGCCCAATGAGCCAGTATCACCCCAATAATCAGCAAAACCAACCCAACTGTTTTCACTGGGGGCACATCCCCGGGCTGTGGTTATGGGAAAGCAAGGAAGAGAGGCTGAGACATCAGGGAGAGGTAGAGCCTCGCAGTGGGCAGGACTTCGGGCAGGGGGGTGGGATGCCGGGTTTCTGATGCAACTGTCAGCCAAGGGGGACTTCTGGAGTTTTCGTTTCTGTGAAATGAGGGGGTTGGGGCAGATGGTTTCGGAGAGCCCTCCCAGCTTTGGGACCTCTAGACCGTTTAGGCCAAAAGCAGGGAGATGACCCCTCTGGTAACCACTGGCCTCTCAGCCTTGCTGAGGTAAGGTGGAGAAACAGAGCAGACACAGGGACTGGGGTCGGGGCGGGGGGACAGGCAAGGGTGGCACAGCCACCAGCCTTCTTCCTCTAGTGGCTCAAACATTGCTGGGCTGAGGCACTCTGAGATGCCGGCCCCAGAGCCTGGGGCTCACCATGGCTGGAGGGGATGCAGGAAGCCGCATGGGGGCAGGGAGGAGAGAAGGTTCCAGGCCTCTGGCTTTAGAGGGGTTAGATGATTTAGCAAATAAAAAGACAGGACACCCAGTTAAATCTGAGTTTAAGATAAACAGTGCAACAATTTCTTAGAATAAGCACGTCTCATGTGATATTTGGGACACGCTGGGACTAAAACATCATTTGTGGTGCTACATTTTATCTGACAACCTTGGATGGGAGACAAGCAGGACAGAGGCGGTTGGGCTTCTGGACGTCTCTGCTCTGCCCCGTGTCTCCCTGGGTCCCGGCGTGGTAAAGGGCCCCCCACGGTCCCCCACCCCCACAGTGGTGTGCCTAGTTCTCCATGAAACTGTCCTGAGTCACCCAAATCTGAGCCTGCCACCTGTTTCCTGTGCAGACCCAGTCTGACACAGGAGTGGCATAAAAACCAGAAGGTTCTCAGGCTTATTTATTAAGAATTGGTAAAAATGAAATGAAATCAAATGAGAAGTTATTGCTCAAAGGTGTGGAATGAACAAGGCCGTGCAGACCCCAGCCATTTTCAGTGGCTCTACTCTATCAATGAGGCAAACAGCTACTAAGAGAAAAACAGCAAAAGTGGGGGGAGGAATCACTCAGATACTAGGTGAAAAACCCACCCCATATAAGACCCTGGTCCCCTCTGCCCCCACCCTCCCATCCTCATTCCTACCTGAGCCACCCAAGGAAGCACATCTTCCCCTCCCTCCCGCTGACTTCTCTGAGGTAAGGGTGGCCTCCCTAGAGACACCCATAGCCTTTTTCCTCTTCTAAGGCATATAGAGCCTTCAACACACTGTCATGGAACAAAGCTGTTTCCCCAAGCAAATGCCACCCTGCTCTTCACCCATTGGCATGCCCTGTCTCCGGGCCCCCAACTCTGAGCCAGGCCACACCATTTGCCCAGGCCTTGTGAGAGGGTTAGAGGTTGGCTAGCCACTGCCCAAGCAGAGGTGAGGCTCACCGGCCCTCACCTGTGGGGTTCTTCAGGTGATGGCTTGGTTCAGACCTACCACCCACTTGAGAGGTGCCCGGGTGGGACAGAACATCCAGCACAGGTACCCAGTTTCAAAAGTATCTCAACGGTCATAGCAATGGTCCACATGCCAACCTGCAGGCTCCAGGGAGAGGGGCCTCGGGGGACACTGAGCAGGTGCACATGGGCAGCCCATCCTGAGATGCCATTTGGCAGAGACAGTGCCCTCTTTAACTCTGCCTTCACCTTTGTCTTTCAAGAATAGATGCCCTTCTGGGGCGCCTGGGGGGCTCAGTCGGTTAAGCGTCTGCCTTCGGCTCAGGTCATGGTCCCAGGGTCCTGGGATCGAGCCCCATGTCGGGCTCCCTGCTCAGGGGGAAGCCTGCTTCCCCCTCTCCCACTCCCCCTGCTTGTGTTCCCTCTCTCGCTGTGTCTCTCTCTCTCAAATAAATGAATAAATAAAATCTAAAACAAAACAAAACAAAACAACAACAGATGCCCTTCCAATGACGGGGGATGAAACAAGGATGTAAAGGGCGTGCTAATAAGCAGGATGAAAGAACAGGGAGGCAGGGCTTGCCGAGACCAGGCTCTGGGTCTCTCCAATGGAAACATACACACAATGCTTCAGTGAGCCTTGCTGCTAAGAACATCTAAGCCACCCCCTGGCTCCAAGGGCAACATTCTGTTGAGAATTCATTTATTTTTATTTTTTTTAAGACTTTATCCATTTGACAGAGAGAGAGAGAGAGAGAGAGAGAGAGAGCACAAGCAGGGGGAAGTGACAGGCAGAGGGAGAGGGAGAAGCAGGCTCCCCGCTGACCAGGGAGCCTGATGTGGGGCTCGATCCCAGGGCCCTGGGATCATGACCTGAGCTGAGGGCAGATGCTTAGCTGACTGAGCCACCCAGGTGCCCCTCTGCTGAGAATTCAACTTCTGACATTTGTGTTTCCTTCATCTAGACACACCCTGCCTTGGTCCACAAAGGATCTGAGGTGATGTGGCTTCTTCCACGTGACCTGCTGTCAGCTTGGCAGTCAGACTTTTGATCAGTCTGCTTAGCATGTTTGATGTGACTCGGTCTCCCTGAACCCACTCGCCTCTGGGGACACTCACTGGCATGCCCGCTGCCTGGCCTGACATGCATATAGCCCAGAGCTATTGCAGGTAACCATTTCTCTCCAACCGTGACAGTGATGGATTTCTTGGGGTCATTTGCCCCCAATATTTTATTTTGAAAAAATTTCAAACTACAGAAAAGTTACAAGAATAGTACAATGACCCCCTCCATCCCCTGCCCTTAGATATCTGCTTTATCTCTTTGAAAGTAAGTTGCAGACAGCATAACATTTCACCTCTAAATCTTGAAGCCCACAACTTTGAGGGAAGGGACAGTCTTCCATGTAACCCTCGTATCTTATCACACCTGGGAAGTTTAACACCGATGACAGCTGCAGGGGGGTGGGGGGTGGTCAGTGGCTGCAAGCAGCTTCTTTCCACATTTTGGTTTTCTTTTTTTTTTCTAAGATTTTATTTATTTATTTGAGAGAGAGAATGAGAGATAGAGAGCACGAGAGGGAAGAGGGTCAGAGGGAGAAGCAGACTCCCCGCTGAGCAGGGAGCCCGATGTGGGACTCGATCCCGGGACTCCAGGATCATGACCTGAGCCGAAGGCAGTCGCTTAACCGACTGAGCCACCCAGGTGCCCCACACTTTGGTTTTCTTTATATAAGTTCTGTTTTATTTATTTAAGTAATCTCTACACTCCACATGGGACTCGAACTCACAACCCGGAGATCAAGAGTCGTATGCTCTTCTGACTGAGCCAGCCGGGCGCCCCGTTTCTTCTTCTTTTTTAAAGTTTTTTCTTTCCACACTTTAATGTACTTTCCCCTCAGGAGGAGGGCTTTGGCAAGTGTTTAAATTTGTCGGAAACAAGAATGCAAAGTGGAACTGGAGCACATCACAGGCTTTGGACCAGAAGTGGCCCATGAGCCACTGGAAGAGATGCCACCGCGCGAGCTGATGGTCACACAGCTTGAGGACCACAAAGCCCAAGCAGGAGAGCGTGCCCAGAGCCAAGGAGATTCCCGAGGAGGCAGTGCCGTAGCGCCTGTGGGCACGCAGGGCCTGGCCCATGGCAGCTGCGATGTGGGTGCCCAGCGCGATCTCAAACCCACAGGGGTGCAGCAGGGTGAGGCCGTAACTGCCCAAGGAGAGACACTTGATGGCAAGGAACAACCTCCCAACCCCTGTCTAGGGAGAGGCACCAGGCCACCAGCGACGCAAAGATGGACAAGGTGAGCCACTGGTCAAGCAGGGCAGCGGGGCGCAACTGCGTCGCGATCCACAGCCACCAAACCAGGCCATAGGCCAGGGCCATGCCAGCGAAGACATCCTTCAGGTAATGAGCTCTCTGCGTCTCCGTGGGGCGCCCTGGGGCCCTGGCATTTCTCTGTAGCCAGTACACCCCTAGGAGGACGTAGGCCAACTTAATGAGTTGAAGGGCGTGGCCAGGAAGACGGGGAGGCTGGCTACGCGGGCCTCGGCACAGCGTTCAGAGCCCACTTGGACGAAGATGCCACCGAACACCCCCCGTGTAGACGGTGGCCGCGCAGAAGCAGCTGGCCACAGCCCCGTGGAAGAGGGCCTGTCTGGACTCGGGCTTCACATGGAGCCCCCGGGTAGGATTTGGGGCAGCCTCCACTGTCAGTTCAGAATTCAGATAAACTGCTTTTGTAAAACGCGCCTTGGCCTCCCGGCTGAGCCAGCTTCTTCAGCAGGAAGAAGTCCCCATGATTTCTGATGCAGATGCCGCGACCTTGCCCCAGAGCGGTGGACGCAGGCCAGAGAGAGGTAGCAGTCCTGCCGACTGGCTGGCAGGAGTGGAAGAGCGTTCTGCCTTTTTCCTCTGTGGTTATGAAAAGAGTGTGGTTAGAAAGAAAACTATCCAAAAGAGAGCCTCCATCTTCCCAACTCTCTGCCTTAGGATCCACCAACAGTTTTCATCAGAAGAAAATAGAAATAAAAGTAAAGCAATACCCACAGTGTGTTCACCTTCTTACTCGTGGCTTCTGGAAGCCTCTAGAATGTTCTCTCCCCTAGGGGTTTCGTGCCCTTCTCTCCTGACCCCCATGCGGTTCTTCTTTCATCTGTGTGCTAGAAAAATCCTGCTCGTTGCCCTAGTTCCCTTAGCGCCACTGCATTTAGAGACTTAGACCTTTCTAAGGTCTCTTGTTACAATTCAGAATGGGCTTTCCCACCTCGGTATCATAAATGTTGACATTTCCAGTCAGCCCCAAGCCCTTTTAACCAAATATCCAGAGAACCAATATCTAGAGACTGTTAGCTATGGTGAGTTCTGGAATCCAAGGCAAGGGATGGGACAGTGCTAGAGGAGAAGGAGGGGAGGGGGGAGGAGAAGGAGGGGAAGGTGGGGGAGAGGGCGACGGTGGCGGGGGGAGGACAAGCCTCTCCCCTCTGCTTCTCAGGTGCAAGGCCAGGCGGCACAGGCAGCCGGCCCCCGGGCCTGCTACCTCGCCTATAGCCCTCCTGCCCTCCCCTGAAGTGGCCACACTGTCCCAAGTTGCCTTCTTTCCATTTCCTGCAGTCACAGAAGCAGACCATGGGAAAACCATGTGCACTTATCACTGACTGTCAACTGCTTTGGGACCAGCTGTGGTGTGAGTTGGCCTAGTAGCCGAGAAAGGTATTTCCATCGTAGAGAGAAAAGGTTCAGTGCTCTGAAAATGAAAATGACTCAAAAGCCAAGAGGGCGGCAGGTGGGGTTGAGAGGGACTGTCTGTGTTCAAACTCCGGCTCCCCCCACCTTCTAGTTGTGTGACCTCAGCCCTGAACCGATCTGGGCCTCAGTTTGCATACCCGTCCCGTGAGATGCTGCCAGGGCCTCCCAGCGGAAGAGTCATCGCGAGGATTAAGTCAGCTCTTATACATGAGGACCACCGCACAGTGTTTACTTCTGAGGCATTACAATGCCCATACCCCCTCCGGCCATTTAGGCCTGGAAAGGGCAGGGTGGGGTGTGACTCTCCGTTCTCCTTCTTGCTCAGTGAGTCCCTGCTCAATTCCAATTCAATTCAGTTCGAGCACCAAGCCAGCACCTCTTCTCTTCTTCTTCATGCTTCCACTGGCACATTACCATTTCACTTCTCACCTGGGCCCTGGGCATCCACCTATACTCTCTGGGGAGGGAGCTGCTGAGCCTCCCACTGAGTTTTCTTGTTCCCACCCTGCCTTGGGGGCCCATAGTTCAGGAGGACCATAAGGCCCAGCATTTCCACCAGTGAACTAAAGCACTCACCCTGACTCTGCATCTCCTCATTGACTATAAGCCTCCTTCTCAGCTTGTGGCTGTGTCACATGCCTCCCCCAAGCCCTTCTCTAAGGAGCTTCCAGGTCCAGGTTGGCGGGGGTGGGGGGGACTGCCTCCCCCCCCCACCCTGGGGTTCCCATTTCCAGGCTGGCCGCTGCTAACGTGGTCTGCGCACAACAGCCCCCAACATCTTCCTCAAGTACCGCTGGGCTGGATGGTGCCAGTCCCCAGTTAACACCGTTCAGTGGCTGGCTCTCCACGCCATGCATGATCACGTCCCAATCTCCAGGCCACACGCCAAAGTGCCATCCCCATGGAGCCCTGAAAGCTCCCAGGCCCAGTCTGTCCTTCAGCTGGAGTGAGATCCTGCTGTCCTCATTCCCTCCTGCCTCAGGTCTGCTAACACTTTCAACTCGGCCTCCCCATTCAGCTCCTGACTCCAGCTGGGACACTTCACCTACACCTCTCTGGGGCCTGGCTCTGTGGCATGAAGTGCCAGGCCTTTGGCACCTCCTGTCTGCCCGCAAGCATGGATGAGAGCCGGGGACAGGAGTCAAATACTGTCAACTTATTAGAGAAGGAGGTCCGGGAAGGGCGTGGAAAATGACTCTTCTCTCTGGCTGCTGGGCAGAGTCCATCTGAGCCCTTATGCAAGCTCAGAGTGACATGTCATTAAACCACCTTCCTGAATCCACCAAGAAGACCAGGCTGGGTACTTTATAGCCAACCTCCTCCGCACACCTGAACTGTCATGACCCTTGCTACACGACACAGATTCCCCCAGCATCTGGCACACGAAGGCCAGAGGCTCAACAGCATTGGCCTGCAGTTCTGGGGTCTTTTGGGGGAAGTCCTCCAAAGGATGACAATATCCTGGCTAAGGTGTTAACACATGTTCCTTAGACTCTCCTGCTTCCTGGGGCTATATGCATTTAAGCAGGAGGCACCGTCAGCAATCACAGTGGTGGCTTCTTTCCTGTAGCATTTATGACAACTGCTTGTTGTGTCCCTGACTATCCTGACCATCCTTGCTGCCTTTCTGCAGATGAGGGGATGCCAGCCTCAGGGCTGTAACATGCGACACCCCCAGCAGGTGAGGCCAATCTGGGCCACCTGGATACCCAAGAAGCCTGGAGCAACTCCAGTGATTCCTGAACTCTAGGGAGAGAATTGCTGAATTCAGGCACGGCCCTTGGAAACCAGCAGCTCACCTTCCTTATTTTACAGGGGAGGGACTTGGGGCCATAGACATGAGGTGAATGCCCAAGGTCATTTAGGGCAGTTGGTGGCACAGTCATTTACAGGGGAGGACTCTTGTCCTGTGGCTGTCACAGGTCTCTTTGGCCTTTCTCAAAGAAACGCTTCCAAATGCATAAAAACAGAGTAACAACATAAATTTAATATGTGTAAACATGGTATGGAAATAGTTTCGGAAATGTGTGATTCGGTAATATATGTGCTACTTTACTAGTAAATGAAATTACAGAATCTACGGGCAGATTGCAGCTACAATAATTTCAAAGTCGTTATTCTGCCTGCTGGTAAGTCTTGTATTTTAGTTAATTTCAGGATAACTACAACAAAAGCTACATTATCTGAAATGATCTGTAACTTCCATTGGTGACAAAGTCACCAGGCTAACACTCTGTGCTCTGTAGCCTACATTCGTAATTGCAGGAAAGGCCAAATTTCGACTATCAGTTGGTGAAAATAAAGATAAAACAAAGCTGAGAGAAAGTGGGAAAACTATCTGTTGTGGCTCCAAGCTCCCAGACACCTGCGCAGGACCCCTGCACTACAGCCTGAGTCTGACAGTGCAGACGACGGTGCAGTGCCCGGACGGCCTCTTGCAAGATTTGGCACATGGAGCTGATGCCAGTACCCCCCTCTCAAGGTTGCGGCGAGATCTTACAGTATTGGCGCGAAAACGCCAGTGATCACCATCCGGGTACTTCCCTCTCTAGATTTGCTGGGGGAAATTCAAATCTCGGAGAAGGGCGGACCCGAAAAGCGGCTCTGCGCCTGCGCGTAGGGGCGGGGCGCGGGTCTCTGGGAAGCAGGCGGGGCGGGGTGACGCGAGGTGACGCGGGGCGACGCGGAGCTCTCCCGCGCCCTCCCGCTCGGCTCGGGGACCGCCGGCCTGCCCGCCCGCCCTGCGGCCGGCAGAGCGGGGGACGGGAAGCGGTCCCGGGCGCACGGCCCGGCTCCTTTAGTTGGAGCGCCGGCGGTGGCGCCGGCTCCCGGGGGCGGAGCCGGCGAGCCTGGGAGCCGGCACGTCACCGCCCACTCGCCCCGCCTCCGACTCCCCCCCCCCCCAGCCCCGGCGCGTCTCGCGCCGTTTCTCCCGCGGTCGCTGGGTGTGGGGAATGGGAATATGTCCGCTCTCGAGGCGCAATTCTGATGTCTCCCTTCAGCCTCCCTCAGCAGTCTATGCCTTGTCCCCACTGCTAGTTAAATGCAACTCCTCGGGCGTGTGTTCCTTCAGCGACCTGGGGTACTGTTCCCAAGGGGGCGGGGACAAGCTCGTTTGAGGTATTCTCATCCGGGCATTCACCAGATGCCTCAACCGCCATCTTTGTTTTGTGCTGAAAGTCGCTATTGACGCCCGTGGACGGCCGGGCGAGGGGAAGTGGCAAGATGGCGGCTCCCAGGGCGGAGGCGTGAGGGCGCAGTGGGGGGGTTGGGCCGCGGGGCTGGGCGCGCCTGCGCCTGACCCGAGAGCGGCCTGAGCCCAAGCTTAGCGCGCGGCGGACCTGGGCCCTCGCCGCGAGGCAGCGCGGGGGTCCTTTAAGAGGCCTCGGCTCACAGCGGCCCTGCGAGGGCGGGGGTGGTGGTGGGGGGAAGAGACAGTGACGTCGCCCGACTCCGCCCCCTCGCCCGACCGCCGCTGCCGCCATGTTTAGTTGTTACTTCTTCACACAAGATGGCGGCTCCCAGGGAGGAGGCATGAGCGCCCTGCCGTTACCGCTCCTCCTGCCGTACAGTTGCCACTTCGGGGCCTAACTCTGGCTCTTTGGAGCGGCTCCTGTGGGAAGGAGTCATAAGGAGGGAAGCGAGGATCGGACGCTGCCTTGCGTTTGGTTTGCAGTGGAAGAACTGACCCAGGAGGAAGAGAATAGGGGGGAAGGGGGAGTTAGTCTCAAGATGGCGGCTCCCAGGGCGGCAGGCGCAGCCTGAGCAGCAGAGGCGGACTCGAGGGAGAGGTTCGAGACCTCACGAGCTGTACGGCGCGAGTCTCCGAGCATTCAAGTTCGTTCCATTGGCCTCCGGCGCGCCTCTGTCCCTTACGAGTGTCGAGGCTGTTTCGGGAGCGGAGGCTGCACTAAGCGCTGGGCGGGGAAGCGGGACGGTCTCAAGATGGCGGCTCCCACAATTGTGGTGTGAGCGCCGGCGGGGCTGGGACAACCGCGGTGCTTGTGGCTCCTTTCCACCCGCCCCGGAAGCCGGCCAGTGCAGGGGACTTGGGGGGTGTGGGAACCGGGCCGGGGCTCCGCCATTTCCGGCGGGGGAGGGCTACGACTGAGGAAGGGAGGAGAGAGAGGCGGCTCAAGATGGCGGCTCCCAGGGCCTCCCGCCCGAGCTTGTAAGCGGGAGCGCCCGAGCGAGTAGTCAGGGCGGCGGGACTTGGCGGCCTCCAGCTTCTCGGGGCTAGGCGCTCGAAAGTTTCGGGAGGCTCTTGAAGAGACGCGGTGAGCTAGAAGAAGGGGAAGAGCCGAAGGGAAGGAGGGTAGTTAAGATGGCGGCCTCCATGGAGCCGTCCACCGCTGTGTGAGGAACCGCTTCTCCGTTGAGAGCTACCTTAGACGAAAGGGGGTGTGTGAGAGAGGAATTGGGGGGTTCCCTTCCCGCTTGGTGACTTTTTCCCACTGCGGCCTTTCCCGGAACTATGGCTTCGGCCGTGTCGCCCGCCAACTCGCCAGCGGTTCTCCTGCAGCCCCGCTGGAAGCGAGTGGTGGGCTGGTCGGGTCCAGTGCCCCGGCCCCGCCACGGCCACCGAGCCGTGGCCATCAAGGAACTCATCGTGGTGTTTGGCGGCGGGAACGAGGGGATAGTGGACGAACTGCACGTGTACAACACGGGTGAGTGCAAAGCCCGCTGGGTCCTGGGATCTTTCCCTCCCTCCCTCCATCTCCTCCCTCTCCCTCTCCTTCCCTCCCTCCCTCTCCTCCTCCTTCCCCCCTCTCCCTCCTCCCCTCCCTCCTCTCCCCCCTCCCTCCCCTTCTTTCTCTTTCCCTCCCCTCCTTCCTTCTCTCCCTCCCTTTCCTCCCTCTCCCTCCGCACTGATCAGCTCTCTTCTCTGTTCCGCGACCCTTTGCTCAGCCCGGCTTCTCTTCTTTTTCCTTCTCTCTCCCCGTTCTTCCACTGCCCCTCCCCCTCGGCTCCTGTATTTGAGGAGTGCTTTTCATTATCCGAGAGGAATTCTCCAGTCCGGTTGGTGAGGGGGCGGGGGCGTCGCCGGCGTTGACTTGAGACACACACCGTTACCCCGCCGGGCGGGCGGGCTGGCGGATGCGTCCCTTTGGCGCAGGCAGAGTCCCACCCCCTTCCTCCCTCCTCCTGCGCCTGCTCAGCTCTTCTTCATCTTTGATGCTT